GAATGTAATTTTCATCTTCAATTGTTTTGATGCTGTTTATTACCAAACAGATTTATTGCCATAAATGTGTTTAGTTCTGTTTCGATGCCGCATCCCTAGTTAGCTAAAGGCATTGTTTTATCTAGCCATTCATTAAATATTAATCATTCTCATTTTCTTTACACTGAATTAATTTCAGATAAGTTGTATTGTACCATGGCTTAAATTTCTTTTGTATTGATACTGAGGATGCACCATAATGACCTTATCGTGGGCGATAATCTTTTCACGTATTATTTATCATTATTGTTTTTGATCACGATGACTAGAATTTTTTTCTCTTCTTTGTATACCGCACTGTTTAAAAATATAAGAATCGATAGTTTTTTAAGCGTTTTCATTTTATTTGCCCGCACTTGTTTCCTATTTATAATGGTGTATGTGTCTATGCATATCCATTTAACTGCATTCTATCCGAAGCTGAAGTCAGCTTTTCTCGTTTCTAATGTCAACTCCCAGAAAATGCATGCTTATTAAAACTCATAGTTTTTGGATTGGTCAGAATTATAAGAACAAAATAGTATTTAGTTTTTATACAAGAGATATCAGTTTGACTCGAAAATTACATAGACAGATTGAGAAACTCATTTCGAGTAGTTTTATGAAAATAAATTTTAAGAATTTATTTATATTTCAATCTAAAATTCCATGTTAGTACTCAATCCAAATTAGCCTAAATTGGTTGGAAGGGAATCAGTGTAGGTAAGACTACGGAAATGTTTGTGTGGATCTGGAGGTAACGAGAATGTCGTCATCTAACCAACTACACTCACGAGTACACCCTCAAAACTCATCCATAGACAACTATAGAGTTTTCTTTTCCAGTGAATGCCTCAAAATGCTACTCTCTCGTTAAACACTGTATCAGAATAGTTATTCATGATTCTATGTAACTTATCAACTAATATTGTGTTTAAAATTATCAGCAGCTTTTGGCGAATCGACGAATATCATTGATCACGAATGTGGTGGATATTGTTTGATCCAAATCGATTTTTAATGTATAATGTAGTTGTGTTTGTTCTCTTATCATATACAACGGCATTAATCAATAGTCGACATCCTACATCAGCAATATGCTTTCTCACTCGACGACTTATGCGAGAAACTGATAGATTCGCTGCAGAATTGGCTCAAAATGGATCTTCTATTGACATTTATATTTTGGTCGATGATAATAGCATGACTCTTCCTTCGACCACTTCCCTTGTTCATTACCTTCAATTAAACGAAACAATTTGCTCAAAGTATGGTTTTCTCGGAGCATCGCAACCTTATCGAAAAACTTGTTTAGCATGGGATAAAGCATTGTACTACTTTGCTAAGTTGAACACTCATCATTTATTTGTTTGGTTTGTTGAAAGCGATGTTCTTATTCCATCCGTACAAGCCTTCTTCGCTCTACATGAGCTCTATTCCACATCAACTGATCTTGTCAGTACCACTAATGTTATCGATTTTGATGGTACTCTAACGGAATGGACTCTTTGGCAGACAGCAGCTGACACATTTTTTCCTCCGTGGTCTCATTCGATGATCAGTGCTGTTGGATGTAGTCGTCGATTACTCTCACTCATTAACGAATATGCCGCATGGCGAGGTCGTCTACCGTATGTAGAAGTTCTCTTCCAAACTTTGGCTATTCAAGACACAAAAATGATCCGTGTCACACCATTCGAGTTATCCACTATTGAATATCGTGTAACTTTTACCTTTGCACAGTTGCAAGCAAGACCATACAGCTGGTGGCATCCGATAAAAAGTTACCGTTTTCAAAAAATCTGGCGAGAAAAGTAATTACTTAACTGATATCTTAAACTCAGTTCGAAGACATTTTTCCTCATGATGTACACATGTTCATTTGTTACAGGCTAGCTAACATCACTTCTCAACGTTCTGTTTATAAACCAAATACGATTTCATTATTGAACTCAATT